AATAGTTAATTGTAGCAGTACTGAACATTAAATACCACGCTTTCCTGTGGCATTTACATTCAAAACATCACTTGCCAAAGCTTAGCTGTAATTTTGTTGTTTTATTTGGCATATTAAGCTGGTGTAACAACAGCTTAACTGAGGATTGGTTGGACGCAAATGCTGTGAATATCTCACATACAACAGATAATAAATAAACAGATGATTCATATTTTACTAAACATTCACATTCTTGCACAACTCTCAAATTTCACTTACCCAGAACATAAATACAACATCCCGTAACAAAGGATGAGGAAATCATGACGGTATAAATGCACAGTGAATATAAAGACACAAATATAAAGACACTTTTTGCATTTGCCCAGTAAACCGCTTAAATGAGTGAATAATGTGTCACACATACATGTTTAATGAGTTATCAGGTGGTAATGTTTTTTTTTCCACAGTTTTGAAACTCAAGTCTGTTCAGTGGTGTTACTCTTCTGGTACTTCTTTTGGAAGACAATCCCATTGGACTGGGTTCTCAATGAAAGTTTAGCATATTGTGCTTTGAAATCATATTAGCCTACTGTTGGCTTTTTCCTTTTGAATGAATGAATGAATGAAAAGTTTTTATTTCGAACATGTAGAAAAAAAAAAGAAAAAAAAATACAATCATACTAACAATTAATAACAAAAAATAATTAATAACAAAAAAAAAAAAAAAAATTAACTTATACATGTCCGAAAAGGAGTAGGAAGAAGCATAAGCTTATTCAATCCTACCCCATCTCCACTACTTTTTAATAATTAATTAGCTAATTAACCAGTTGACCGAACATTTTGATCTATTTGTCTCTACACACCAAAAAAACAAAACCAACATACATATTTACCTATGTTTATACCAACCCTTTGAACACGGTTGCAGTTTGCAATGTGACAATGTCCCTCCAGATGTTTTGTTTTTCCTAATTTGTATGGTGTCCTTTAAATCTGTTAAAAATAAAATCTTTGTTTCCCTCTATCTCCTCTAGAAGGACATTCATTGTATCTTTTTGAAAGGTATCTTCTCTTGTTTTTTTGTTTTTGTTCAGCCATTTTGTCAGCCTGTATAGGTGCTGTATATCTATATAGACTTGTCTTGATTTCTAATCCACAACAAATGACGATTATTAGTTAAACGTTCAGAATACGATTCCATATAAGGTTATATTTCAGCACTTCGCCAATGGACAGCGACGCTTAAGTAGCACGTAGAACTACGAGTGCTCTGGAGTAATCGTAAATCCCCAAGTGCATCGTAAGAAGACAGAGTTATGAGGTCACCTGCAGGACAACCGGCAGATTACACTTTTTATCTAGATTTAACAGATTACACTGCAACGTAAGTATAATATAAAGATTTGATTGTACTTTATTGTACACTTTGTTGTACTCCTGTTTTGTTTAAATGAATAAATGAAATAATTAAAAAGGGAAGAAAAACTTGAAATATCTAAATTAAACGAATGAAAAAAAAAATCATAAAATAAGTAGGCCTAATCTGGGAAATATGCTTTAAATAGGGATGAATTAAACAAAAATCTGACTTGCTGACCTGCTCGAAAACCAGCCATGTGGGCATTTCTTGCGGACCTCCTTCCCTGATCTTTGAACACGGTTGTAGTTAGTTTGCAATGTCCTCCCAGATGTTTTGTTTTTCCTTATTCGTATGGTGTCCTTTAAATCTGTTAAAAATAAAATCTTTGTTTCCCTCTATGATATCCCCTCTAAAAGGACATTAATTTGATCTTTTTGAAAGGTATCTTCTCTTGTTTTTTTTGTTTTTGTTCAGCCATTTTGTCAACCTGTATATCTATATAGACTTGTCTTGAATTAATCCACAACAAATGACGATTATTAGGTTAAACGTTCAGAATACGATTCCATGTAAGGTTATATTTCAGCACTTCGCGAATGGACAGCGACGCTTAAAGGTGCTCTACGGAACTTTTAGCGGCCTCTAGTGGTGATGTTTCAGATTGCAACAAGAGCGCTCGTGCTCGTGCTCGTGTGCGATCTCAGGAGCGAGCATTCACTACAGGCCACACACGGAGACTTTCAACGCAACGGCGAAAGCATCACACAACATGCTGGAAACTCATGTAAACTCCCACTGCAACGTTACAATAATGGGCTACTTTTATCAGCTTGACGTTGAACTAATGCTCCATGCTCGTACCATGATAACGTGACATTGACTGCATTTAGCCGACATGTGATGTTATCTAGCATAGCCTACGGCATTTCACTAACTATTCGTGTATCTTTCACAATCAACAATGTCAACATAGGTGAATGTATAATAATGATAACGAAAATGGTTAGTGAACTAGACTGAACAATGTCAGTGTAACAGTAAGACAGTAGGAAGTCACATTACTGTACTGAACGTGTCTGGAAATGTTTATTATAAACAATATGATAGTGGGATGAATTACGTTATAGCGTAACGATCTATAACGTAGATCTAGTACATAAAACAAGTATCTTAAAGCACCTTTTCTTATCCTGGAACAGTCTTTTGTATTCATTCCATGTCTCATGTAGTTTACCTTGCTATTTCATTTGAGTTTACTAATAATTCAAAAGCTCTGTCTATGTTGATCCGTGTTTTCGTCCTGAGTCGATCAGAATCACGTTTGGCCTGACGAGCTTCAGCAGATAAAACTTTTTGTTTTTTATATTTATGTGGAGTTAGTGTTGGAGTGTGTGTTGTGCTGGAGGCAGGTCGTTTTTGGGTGTTATCAGACTCATGTCGTCAGCTGCAGTGCCGTCGGTCGCATAGACTGTATATAAGGAGAGAGGCTCGGGAGCGCGCATGCACGTCACATCCGATGGATTTCGCGGTAAATCCGACCCGGAGACTTCACATATAAATATGAATACTGGCCTTCAGAGGTAATAGCAAAACCCGACAAGTGGATCATTGTAATTTGTGATTACAACCCCTTCACACACAGGCAATAAAAAAAGGATTCATTTTAGAAGAAAAGTTACATATAGCACCTTTAAGTAGCACGTAGAACGCGTTCTCGCGCGTTCGTGTTAAGTGCATTTTTGGGAAACGCACGTTAATTGAAAGCGTTCGTAACCTTGCACGTAGAGAGCGCTCGATACATCAAGGTGATTTATATATTTTCTCAAATCTTCACACACATTTCACAGTGGAACAGAAAGAGAAAGTGTTTAGCAGTGTTTCGAGTGAGAGTTTGTTGTTTGTCACAGTCAGATGTGAAATACCAGGAACTGAAGAGTACATTCACTTAATTTGACTTTGTAAGATGTTTAACTAGCCTATAACTTCTGTTTCTTCAGTTAGAGAGACACCTAAACTTGTTCTGACTGTTCAGCCTGAACCATCACAGATATCCAGAGGAGAGACTGTCACTCTCACATGTGACATACAGGGAGAGGGATGGACATATAGATGGCAGTGTGGAGATACACGGCACGACTCTAAAGAGAAAGAGTTCAATATCACTGCAGAGATCACACAGAAGTGCAGGTGTAAAGGCTGTAGAGGATCAGACTGCTCTCACTGGAGTGATAAAGTGACTCTGACTGTGTCGGGTGAGTGATCATCACTGACTGACATCAGGATCTCGCTCAGATGGTATTTCAGCCTAAAAAGTGGCTATTATCTTACACTGTAAAGGCAACGGTAATTGTCAGGATTTACACGATTACATTTACAGGATCAGAGAGTATTAAGGTCGCTGATGGACTTGTGGATTGTTTCGTTCAGAAGTTGTTTTGTGCAGCTTGAAGCACACACACATCTGTCTGTGTAACTGCTCTGCATCTCCGGTCACTGATGATTCCCACATGTTATAAAGATGCATGAACCCTAAATAAAGTTCAGCTTTTCTTTTCAAAAGCAACGGATCGCATATTTAATAAAAGTTTTTCAAAACAAACTTCCTAGTGAAACATTAAAGTAGACTAGTGTGATCAACAGTGCACATTTTTTTCATATTTTATTTAATATTGTGAAAATTGTTCACAAATAATGCTTTTTTTTTACCCCCAATATTGGGTGATATAACAAGTGATTTATAAGCTATAGGCCGGTCATTTTTGACCGGGAACATCACAAGTGTTATAGGGTTTTTAACACAACACAGGGGTTAAGAAACTATCTGACTGTCAAATATTTAAAGCTTATATACAGCTAATGGCCCTGATAATACCCTCAAACGGCAATACATTCAAATCGGACAACAGAAATTACATTATCAAATTAAGGTTACATTATATATTATCTGCCATATCAGGAAGTTTAAAAAGTTTATATATATAGATATATAGCAAATTAACAGGGAAGTGTTTGTTTCCATTATCTTAATTTCTGAGTAATAAGGTGCGAACTCCACCCTGATTCTCATTGCTGTGATCATCATGTAATTTCTCTACACTTATTGCTATATATATATATATAGATATATATAAACCGCCTGCAACCACAGTGAGCGTCAGAGGCCTGCGAGCGGAAGAAAGTCTGTCAGTTGTACTTTGACATGTTTTCCACTGCTGATGTGGGTTTAACCAATTCAGACTCGAATCAAGTGCCAACATAATGCCAAAATACTTATTATCAAGGGTCTCGAAACCAGTTTTGAATCACGTACACAGATCATCATTGTAAAGACCATGATATTATCACATATAAACCTTTACAGCTGCAGAAGTTTGATTGACAGCTGTAGATAATGATGCAGTTTGGCTTTAAATCACTCACACTGACCGGCCAGTCACTCATACATCTCACACTCTCCTTCTACAGAGATTAAAACTGATCAAATTGGCTTTGGACCGCACATGGTCGCTGTGTTGCAAAATCACCCAGAAATTCTTGATAACTCTGGTGTTTTCATGCTTCCCTTTTCTCAGGCTCTGAGACTGTCAACACTTGTCAATACATCTTTTGACTAGTCTGACTGACAGTAATTCATTATGTTTGGTTTAAACTGCATAAAGCCCAATTCAGATCCAGCATTGAAATAAATCACTTCTCATTCAGTCTGATGTAGATTTCCATCCATTCTTATGTAACAAGCCATCGGTGTAATGTAGCCTACATATGAACATGCCTAATAAGACTTTTCTTAAAATGTATTCAAGGCTCTTTATTATGAGGAACTCTTTCACAATTTCTTAAAAGACGATATCGTTTTTTTATTTATCCGGTTCTAAAGTCAGGGAAGTATAAGCAGGAATAAGCAGAAAGGGTTGTTTGACGCTACGACTCAGACCTGTGAACTACGGTTTCTTCTGTTTGTTCAGGAAGTGTTGAGTCTATAAGACTGACTGTGTGTTTGACAGTGTGTCATTAATAGACCAGTATGGAGCTCAGGACACTTCCTCTAATGTTCTGTGAGTATCTCATTTATGCTTTATTTGCACATTTTGTATAATGATAGTGAATCGCTGTTCATCTGTATTTCATCTTTTTATGTATTGAATCTGTTTTTCATTTATGCTGCTAATAATTTGAGTATCAAACCAATCTGTAGCTCCTTATATATCCACACTGTTAATTTATTGTAAAAAGAAAAGAAAAAAACTCTTTTATCCTGTGAATTCCTGGTGATTTTTTACTGTTTGTGTGTGTGTGTGTGTGTGTGTGTGTGTGTGTGTGTGTGTGTGTGTGTGTGTGTGTGTGTGTGTGTGTGTGTGTGTGTGTGTGTGTGTGTGTGTGTGTGTGTGTGTGTGTGTGTGTGTGTGTGTGTGTGTGTGTGTGTGTGTGTGTGTGTGTGTGTGAAAGTGAAAAACACTCCCCGAATGATCTCAGTGTATTGATCATTACTGTGATTCTCAGTCGTTCAGTTTACGGTTTGTAATGGTTCATGTGTTGAATCACACACTCTGTCATGTTCTGTAAAGTTACTTTGTTGTCTTCAGTAGATCTTCAGCATCTCAGATCTTTAGCATAGTAGATCTTTAGTGTATCTTAGTCTTCTTGTGATGTGCTGACTGACATTAATGAGCAATGATGTCACTTCCTATATGAAGCACTGATGGGACGCAAAATTAGATCTGCAATCATGACAGCATCACATAGATATTCTTAGCAATGAAGATGATTTCTTCACACTTCCTCTTTCATGCTCAATATCTCCAGTTATTATTGACTGCCTTATATAGATGTGAAAGAGTAGAGATCTCTTGCATCAAATCAACATTGTCACTCCTTATGTTTTTTCTATTTAAAAAAAAGTTTTCTGCATGTTTTAATTTATCTCGCCCACTCTCTCTGTGTGTGTGTGTGTGTGTGTGTGTGTGTGCGCGCTTGCGTGGTTTGTCTCTTTTTGCTTTTTAGTGCTGATTTCAAACATCCGCCCTGGACAAACTCAAGGTGATTTATACATTTATATTTTCTTCAAATCTTGCAATAACACAGTGGAACAGAAAGCCTAGCAGCGTGTCGAGTGTGTTCATGTCATTAATTGGGTCCTTAATGATACAGCTGAGCTGTGTATGAAACAAATGTCTTGTATGATTCATGTTGAAACATCTGAATGTTTTATGTGATGTTATAGAGAGACTAAAGGCTGTAGTGAAGACAGAGCCAGGCATACATGAAACCGTCACTGTCAGATGTGAAATACCAGGAGATGCAGACGACTGGACATACAGCTGGTTTAGAGACGGATCATCTCAGCCCTTCAGCACTGACAGAGAATTCATCTTCGAAACTGGTGTATCTCACAGACGCAGCAGCGTCACCTGTAGAGGAGAGAGAAGAAGTGATGGACAGAGGTCAGAGATCAGTGACGCGGTTACACTGACATTATCATGTGAGTCTGATCCTCTTCACTGCAGAAATAAGTTACACTGAGAAGTGATGACGTGATAAGAAAGGGCTTTTATTTGCACAGAAGAAAAGAAGGTGGTTGTAAAAAATAAATAAAGTGTATTGTTCTCAGTGAGCAGGGCATGATGTTTCAAGAGGAACAGTATTGATATTTTAATTGTATTGCACAATTACTGGACATAGACAAGAAATGCACACACTGCCATTTTCACTCTTCTTTCAAATCTTATTAACTTATCTTGGTTTATTTGTGTTTTATCACAACTTATCAGTTACAGAGACAGAGACACCTAAACCTGTTCTGACTGTTCAGCCTGAACCATCACAGATATTCAGAGGAGAGACTGTCACTCTCACATGTGACATACAGGGGGAAGGATGGACATATAGATGGCAGTGTGATGATGGTAGAGGAGAGCACGACTCTAAAGAGAAAGAGTTCAATATCACTGCAGAGATCACACAGAAGTGCAGGTGTAAAGGCTGTAGAGGATCAGTCTGCTCTCACTGGAGTGATAAAGTGACTCTGACTGTGTCGGGTGAGTGATCATCAATGACTGACATCAGGATCTCGCTCAGATGGTATTTCAGCCTAAAAAGTGGCTATTATCTTACACTGTAAAGGCAACGGTAATTGTCAGGATTTACACGATTACATTTACAGGATCAATAATTTTATAAAATTACTGTAGTCAGAAATTTACTGTGAAATCAGTGCATGCTGGATCATTTAAATGCAGAATGATGCAAACATCACAGCAATTTAGAGCCCTTGTTTTACTGTGAATTCACATTAAAACGTTTCTAACCATGCTGCTAAAAGAAATAATTGTTTACCACTGTAATTGTTTTGAAGTCACCATAATTCCATTCAATTTGCTTGGGATCTTGGACCTTGATCCTATTAAAATGTATCTTTTTATTATTTGGTTGATTTTAAGTCAAACTATTATTATCATGAATATAAGGATTTTTAATTTATTTAAAATTCATACCTGTTTGTAGATGGATCTTTTACAATAGTGACACAACTGCTGAAATGCATCTTTAAAAGATGTGATATCATCTTGCAACACAAGATTTTTTATCTAATAAGCATCATCTAATGTTGCACAGACAACAAATACTTCTCATACAAAACACAACAATGGTGACGCTCAACAACAACAAAAAACACACACACAACATAAACCAACATTACAAAATAAACCAATAACACAAACTGTAAAAGTGTGCCAAAAGGGAGTTCAGCAGCACAGATGAAAGCAATAAGTATTAAAAAAAGATTCAGCATAATCTATTCATGCTGCATTGCATGTTGGGTGATGCACTGTAAAAATACAGTATGATGTTGTTGGTTGACAGTATTAATATTTATTTGTTGCTTTCCGATAGTGTAAACTCACAGTAAAACCAAGTTTTTTTAAGTACAATTGTAAAAACTTGTCTACAATAGCCAGTAAAGTACTGTAGATTCTACATGAAACTTCTGAGAGTGCAGATGCAACAGAAGTCCTACTGTGAAATTACTAATTATTAACCTGTAAACAATTAAACTGTAATTTAACACTAAAATGTTCAACAGTGTATCTTTGCATGTGTAGTGACCTAGAGTTTAGGACAGAACGAGTCGATTCAGTAATGGTTTCTTTGGATGCTACTGTATATCATAACCTCTGTTTCTTCAGTTCCAGAGAGACCTAAACCTGTTCTGACTGTTCAGCCTGAACCATCACAGATATTCAGAGGAGAGACTGTCACTCTCACATGTGACATACAGGGGGAAGGATGGACATACACATGGCAGTGTGGAGATGATAGAGAGCACAACTCTAAAGAGAAAGAGTTCAGGATCACTGCAGAGATCAGACAGAAGTGCAGGTGTAAAGGCTGTAGAGGATCAGTCTGCTCTCACTGGAGTGATGAAGTGACTCTGACTGTATCAGGTGAGTGATCATTACTGATAGAAAGGATATTGCTCAAATGATACATGAACAATTAATAAACTGCAACTAAAAAAAACTGTATTAGTAAACATTTCTAGATGCTGCATCTTAGACAGAGTGGACTGTGAGTTACATTTTACAAGCAATGTCTCTCAGGATCTGTATATTTATACATCTTCTTTATGAGAGCTCTCATGTTAGAACATAAAACAGCCATACAATTACATTACTCATAATGAGCTGAAGGGTGAGGTCAAATTAAGACACATTAAGTATAAATGATAGAAGTCATAAACAGTGATAGATGATGACTGAAGACTGTATATTAACAGAAGATCATGAAATATTTGCAGACAAACCCAGAGTAACTGTGAAGCCCCAGAGTTCAGTGTTCACTGGAGACACAGTTACTCTGAGCTGTGACGTGAGACGCTCAACTGGACTGAGGATTATCTGGTACAAAGACTTCCAGATAATACAATCTGGTGATGAGACAGTAACACTGAGAGATGTGAGAGTCTCTGATGGAGGAGAGTACATGTGTGGTGTACTAAGAGAAACCAACTCCGTAACACCAGGTCAAAGAGTCACGCTAACAGTAAGAGGTAATGTGGCAATCGGATTTAATAATAGGAATATTATGTAAATTAATGTCGTCCATCAACAGTATCATCAGTTAAATTAAACACAGTTAATTTCTCCCAGAGAGACCCAAAGCTGTATTGCGTGTTCAGCCTGACGGACGAGTGTTCAGAGGACAGACGGTCACTCTCACATGTGACATACAGGAGACAGACGTCACTAGCTGGACCTACAGCTGGAAGAAAGATGATTCAGAGATTCATGTCAGTCGATCACAGGAATACAGAATCAGTTCAGTTAGTGAATCTCACACAGGTCATTACAGCTGTAGTGGAAGAGGGACGCGAGGATCACGACACACACACACCAGTGATGAAGTTACACTGACGCTTTCAGGTGAGTGTGTTCAGATCAACTTCACATCATGAGTTAAAAATGTACGCAAATAAGAAACTGTAACCAACATGTTAAAAAATAAAACAAGCAGTGAGAAATTTACCTGTAAATGAGACTGAATAGATTGAATTGATGTTGAATAATGTGCTCCACTATTTATTTGATGGACATAACATGTAGCCTATTTAACTCTGCTGGTAAGTAACTTCAACAACAGTTATTTTAATAATTAAATGATTTAATTTATTAATCAAATTGCAGATGATTAGCCTTAACTTACTTGATTAATTTGACCAACTAACCTTTTATCCGGGACCATCAGGATCTCCAGGACCATCAGGATCTCCAGGACCATCAGGATCTCCAGGACCATCAGGATCTCCGAGAACATCAGGTGAGTGTGAGAATCTCTCCTTCACATTATTCTCGGCTTCATTCAGACACAAATCTAAACAAACCAAATCTAATATTTTAATAGGCCAAAACGTTGCTAAAATGTTCAGGTCAGCTTTAGATTGTTTGTGCTTTTACTATAGAGTTTTTTTTTATAATTTTTTTGAAGAGACATAGATATCCATATGAAAACTTTAGTGTGGCTTGTGGCTTGTTTTGAAGATCAATTAGTGCTCACTTTTGGACAAAATTTGCTGTTATCAAACTCCAGGACGGCGGCCAATTGAAAGAAATTCAAATCAATGACTTCACTGAGCCTTACGTGTCATGAAATCACAGGGAGTTTCTTAAAATATATATATAGGGTTTGAAAGTCACAAGAATAAAAGTGAAATCTGAGCATTTTGGTGACAAAATGATTACATTATTTATATGCAGTTTTTTGATCATGAAAAGTTGATGATCATGAAATAATTTGGTTGTGTTTATGTTTTCCAGGTTCTGAAGCTCCATTGCCAGTTACACTGATGGCTTCAGGTGAGTGTGTTCAGCCAGAGACTATTTATATAGAGACATGCCACTTCCTCAATCCTCAATACAACTATATAGGGAAAACCTGTAACGTCAAAGATGGCGGTTGTATGCATATGTCCCGCCCCTCCCGCTGGAAAGCCAATCGTCTGCTTTTAACAGTCAAGCCGGGAAACATTTAAGCCTATCGTCTGGTTCCACTGACGCATGCGCACAGTTGAGGTTTGCGACAGCGGAGACGATTTGGCGACAGCGAGTTGTTTTGTGCCATGGTGTTGTGTGCAAGATCAGATGGAATCCACATGGAAGAGGGTGATAACAACGCGAAAACACCGGACTACCAAGGTAGTTGTGGCGAGCAGGCCGAGGACGAGGGACGTGAGAGAGCTGCGTGAGGCCGGTGGCGTGATTACTGATGAGCGGCACCTGCGCGACGCATCGTCTCGTATCTCTCACGGAGGAGCGGAGGCATAAAAGGTGGAGCGACGACATGGAGATCGAGAGAGGAACAGGCCTGATTTTATGTTGTGTTTTGTTTCTGTTTTGTGTGGCCAGCAGCTCATCCGGGGCTGCTGGCATACTTCCATTTTTGGATTTGTTTATTTATTAAAATGGTTGAATGTTCGCTGGTTCCTGCCTCCTTCTTTCCATAACATCTGAACCTTGTTACAGTAGTTAAAGCATTTTATATCGACCACAAATATGTTACCTTACATTCTAAGTATGTGATGTAGAGCACGACACCGGCATTCTGGATAGAGACGTAAATGAAGTTGGTGTCGTGAACCCTTGCGCATGCGTAGTAAAAGTATAACCTGTGGGGAAAAAGGTGTTTTAAACCTTCTTTTGGGGCAAAGTCATCAAACTTTTTCAGCGATTTTTATCATATTTTACTGCTGTTTCTATACATGCAGTTTTTATGTCCCAATGACCAGTGAAAGTGCAGTTCTGACTCTCTGCCCATTCATTTAGATAGGAGCCTGGTCTTGTTAGTCGGAAATAGCTGCCCGGAGGCGTTGCCAAGATGGCGGCCGAGTGGCATGACTTGCCTAAAAGGACTTTGGTTCAGCTCAACTTCACATCAATCTGACTACATTCAGACACAAATCAACTCAATTATACATCTATGGAAAAATTACCACTGAGATCGGTGTATCTTTTTATACTTTAACAAAACAAGTGCTATCAAAAAAACTTTGAAATAATATGTGCATTGAATAATAATAGTATGATGCTTCTAAGTATAAAATATGACTGATGAACAGTGACAGAGACATGATTGATGTCTGTAAATAAATAGTTTTCTACTATCAATAAGAGGATATAGTTCTGGCAGGACACGTTAGTCAAGCTCGCATCAGCTGATCCACATCTACTCTATAGGAATACGACGTCTATCACTGTATATATATATATATATATATATATATATATATATATATATATATATAAGCTCCTTCAGTATTATCAGCAGCTGTGGCGTTTCTCAGGAGCCAATTACCCTCCTCCATCCCCAGCTCCTCCTCTCGCCCAGTCAGGATTTGGCATTTTGATTCCCCTTGAATCAGAATAAATTCTCGAATTATGTTGTACTTTAAAATCTTGAATTAATGATATCTGCAATACATTCATGTTGGTTCTGTTCTGTTTACCTTAAGGGGGGTTATAGCTGCTCTCCCTGCTCTTGTCCATGCTAGGCGTTCCAGAACTGTCATAACTGAAGACAGGAAGCAACTGCAATTAAACTCTTTATTTAAATGGAAGAAGTAACAGAGTCCAGATGCCAGATGGAATAGGTGGCACAGGGACTTTGATGGTCAAACACGGAACAGATGAAGTGAAGAGATGAAGTGCGCTGGTGAGAGGTGATGACGGAATCCAGACACAGAACGTAATCCAAGGGGAAACACCGAACAGGAACAAGAGCACGAGACTGGAACGCCGACACAGGAACAGGATCAAACACACAGCACAGAGGACATCAACACAGCACAGAGGACATCAAACAATGATCTGACAAAGGAGAAAACGGTGAGTATTTAAAGGTGAGGAGATTAGCTGCAGCTGGCACCGTGAATGAGATCAGCTGGACCGCTGATCAGCCAATGATGGCAGTCACGCCCACTCACACACACCCACCCACACATAACAACATAAACACAAGACGAGCAGGAAACAATGCATTCATAAACCGTGACAGTTTTAGGCAGCGGTTGAAGTAACCCATCTGGGGGTCGATTGGAAGTCTTACCTGTGGCACAAACCGAGCAAGCTAAAACAAAACCGTGAATATCGCGAGCCATAAGTTGCCACAGAATCGTTGCTTGACCAAAAAAATAGTGCGACTGACTCCTGGATGACAAGCCACGTTGGAACAATGCCCCCACTGAATGACGTCAGACCGTAATCCCTCCGGCACAAATAAACGATTCGGTGGGCAACCAGGCGGAGGAGTTACCCCTTCTAAGGCCGTCTTGACCTTCGATTCGATCTCCCATGTGAGTGTGGAGACAAATAGACTCTCGGGTAAAAAGCACTCTGGAGTAGACGGGCGTTCGGAACGGTCAAAAATGCGTGATAAAGAGTCGGATTTGATGTTCTTGGAACCCGGACGATACGAGAGAGAAAAATCAAAACGACCGAAAAAAGTGCCCACCGAGCCTGCCTGGAGTTCAATCTTTTGGCAGTTCAGATATATTCCAGGTTCTTGTGATTGGTCCAGACGATAAAAGGTACCTCCGACCCTTCTAACCAGTGACGCCATTCCTCCAACGCTAACTTGACTGCCAACAACTCCCTGTTACCAATGTCGTGATTACGTTCGGCCGGGGATAAACGATGAGACAAAAACGCGCAGGCATGCATCTTGTCGTCTGCAGAAGAACGTTGAGATAGCACTGCGCCTACCCCCAGCTCTGATGCGTCGACCTCCACCACAAACTGGCGTGAAGGATCAGGGGCTATAAGGATGGGGGCTGAAACAAAGTGGCCTTTCAGTTTAGTAAACACAGCCTTGGTTGTGTCCGACCACCTGAACGTAGTTCTGGGGGAGGTCAAAGCGGTCAGAGGTGCGGCTAGTTGGCTGAAATTGCGAATAAAACAACGGTAGAAGTTGGCGAACCCCAGAAACCTCTGTAGGGGCTTACGGGAATCTGGACTTGGCCACTGTACCACAGCCTTAACCTTCTCAGGGTCCATACGCACTCCCTCAGACGAAATGATGTACCCTAGGAAAGGAACAGACTGTGCATGAAACGCGCATTTTTCCGCCTTGACAAAAAGCCCATTCTCTAGGAACCTCTGAAGCACTCGTCGGACGTGCTACACGTGTTCCTGGAGAGAAGACAAAAACCAATATGTCATCCAGGTAGACATATATGAACTGATCTACCATATCTCGCAGCACGTCATTGACGAGAGACTGGAGGACCGCTGGGGAGTTGGACAAACCGAAAGGCATGACCAAGTATTCAAAATGCCCCCTGGGGGTGTTAAAAGCAGTCTTCCACTCATTCCCCTCCCTAATGCGCACCAAATGATAAGTATTACGTAAATCCAGTTTCGTGAAGATTGACGCTCCCTGCAATCTCTCTAAGGCTGAAGACATCAACGGCAAAGGATAAGTATTCTTTACCGTGATGCTGTTCAGCTCCCAGTAATTGATACAAGGGTCGCAGAGAACCGTCCTTTTTCCCCACAAAAGAGAACCCCGCCCACGCTGGAGAAGAGGAAGGTCGGATGAACTTCATTGCTAGAGAATCAGAAATATATTTCTCCATAGCCTCCCTTTCTGGAACAGAAAGCGAATATAACTTTACCTGGCAGTAACTCTATAGCACAGTCATAGGGACGATGTGGAGGAAGAGAAGCAGCACGAGTTCTCTTACGAGAGTATCTCTCGTACTGCGTAATAGCTTACGCTAGGGGAAAAACTCTTTTCCGCGAGATATTGAAGCCAAAAATTATCCTTAATTTTTTAATAATGTAAAACGCTTTGCAGCAGCAAGCAGACATAGGCGAAACAGCTCGCGCCCCTATTGGCTGCTCTGCAGCAAATGCAGCAGCCTATCGAGAGAGACTCTGCGTGACGTAATGACCAATGGGGGCCATTCGCGCCCATATCGTCACGTCCCGCCAGAAGGGGCGTGGTCTCACCCTATAAATATGCTCGTTAGGCTGATACAAACTGATTTTTACCTCTTCAGCGAAGCACACGCTTCGCTGGATCCGGAGTGAGAAGCCGCGCCGTCGAAGCAAGCCTTTCAGCGGGACGAGCTCTGGAGTCGCTGGCCTCGCCGCCTTCAACTGCCGTACCTGCTGCGCTTTTCGGCGTTATATATCCTTTTCATACTCTGTGTGTATTTACTCTGTTGAGAGTGTTTGTCAGCTTACTTCGCGACTCACACTTCTCTCACAAAAGAGCTGCGTCTTTTTAAAGATGCCTTCCTGTGGCTCGTGCTGCGCCCCACTCAGCGATGGAGACCGGCACGTCATCTGTGTTTCCTGCCTGGGTGAGGATCACGCGGCTCTCGCGCTCGCTGAAGGCGGATGCCCTCATTGCGAGCTTTTGCCCATGGTGACTCTGAGGACTCGCCTGGCATCATTCTCCGAGCCTTCACCGCAGCCCGCCGTGCTGCCGCGCCGCAAGAAGCGCCGCGCCCAGCGCGCTCCCGAGCTCTCTCCAGCCCGCCAAAGCTCGCCGGTTCGCCCGCCAGCTTCGCCGGTTTCGCTCGAGTCGCTCACTGACGGACAACGGCCGCCGCCTGCCGCCGCGTCCATCCACGAGTTTGACGAACCCACCGAGGCGTGTTCTCTTCTGGCATCCGATAGCGAGGATTGGGCGAGCTCCGTGGACCTCCCCTCCGCTAGCGTTTCCCGCCAGACCACTGGTAAGAGAGCCGGCATTGAGACTGAGCTGATGCGTCTGCTCTCTCAGGCCGTGGATAGCATCGGCCTCGATTGGGAAGCGCCCGCGCAACCGCCGCGCAACAGGCGAGCTCTGTGGA